CTGACTAAACCAGACGGCCGACCAGAGGATATAAAGTATGACAGTCCGACAGCATGCTTCCGGTCAACACTTGTGACGCATTTACTCTATTGCCACTGGGCAACCGAAGACTGGAGATGGTACATAGTGTGGCTTGAGAGAGTAATCCATCAAGAAGTAAGTGTTCTCATTCACGTGCATTTCCAAGCTGACGTTGAGAAACACAGAGTGGGATGGCCGTGAACGGTCTCCGTAGGGAGGAGTGTGCCTATGAGATATACGAGCCGCAAGACATACAGGATTTGCAACATTGGCAAGATGAGGCCAACGCAGTAGTAATGGTTCTGGAGTCCAACGCCAAGATTGTGGGTGCTCTACGCAGCTTCTACAAGAATCTGGTTTCTCGAGAAGACTTTCCCAACGCGTTAAAAACAAACTGCGAGGATCATCTTCACGCCTTCTTTTCGCAGCTGGATGAAATTATGGGAGACTTTGATATGCAGTTAACCCGAGCGAAACTTCTGGTGAAGATAATAAGTGACAGAAAAGAGCTGGTGTTACAGCATCTACACCGTCAAGCTTCAGACCGGACTGAACAGTTGAACAAGAACCTTGAACGGGAAGCTGTTGTTATGCGGATCATTACGATTGTTACGCTGCTGTACCTGCCAGCAACGTTCGTATCAGTAAGCTGAAAATGACCCCTTGGCTCTCTTCTCTCTCTGACGCACCACAGACGTTTTTCAGCACCGATGTCATCAAATATCAAGATCAAGATCAGAATGCTGGCAGCTCCGAAAACGGCTCCTTCTCTAGCCTTGCTTTGGAGCGTTGGCTTCAGGTCACCATACCTTTGACTTTCCTAACTTTGCTTGGAGCTTGGTCGACTTATCGTTTCTTCAACAGTACCGTGGAACATTTCACATTCTTTGAGAGGCTGAAACACATCGTTCCTGGCCTGACGTCATCGGCGAGTGTTTCCCTAGCGTCCGGAACAACCCAAGGCTACTCTGATACCAATACTCGAAAAGACGCATCCGAGCGTTTGGTCAATTCTACTAAGAGGCTTGCTCGGATTATGCGATGGTTTCGTAGTGGTCGCGCCATTTTGCCGTTCCACAAGCCAACAGCGACAAAAACAGGCTGATTTTGAGGTAGATGGGCGATCCTTTTCATGTTATATCTTCTGTTTAAGTTTTGTAATTAGAGCATCGCCATATTCATTTTCATAAGACTGGTTCAGCACAGTGCTAGTAAGAGGCGTACACTGCCAACAAGAAACGCCTGAGATCCCGGTGAAGGCTTTTTTTGTTAGAGTTCGAGGCCGACACGGCCGGAGCGGGAGGCTATCTTTCGAGTTACCAAGCGGGGCCGTGAGCGCTTAGCGAAGAAGCGTTCACTGACACAGCCTGGTCTATCAACATCTCACTCCTGAAGATGACCAGCTTACACCATCCGCCTACAAGACCATACAACACCATATCGCGGCTTTTTTCAGAAACGCGATCTCACTTTTCTTGTTGTATATATCATTAATCTCTCGATTACGCATGTTGCTTGATGAACAACTTGTGGCGGCGGAGCGAAAGCTCAGCCTTGCTGCCTTGTCACGGTAATCAGCTTGCTGCAGCCACCAAAGTCCTCCGTGGAACTATTGGTGCAATCTTTAATCTGGACCTGCCTCCGGCTGCACATATACTCATTCATATGGCTCTAATAGCCAGGCACCCCGCCCACAAAACTGAGGCTTCAACAACCACTGCCCGTTGCTTGTCAACCTTCTTCCCACTGGCTTGTCACCAAGCTCATCCCTTGCGCAACCGGCCCGACAACTTCGATCCAATAACGCTGAGCACATATTCCCATTTTTCGCATCGACCACCGATTCTGTACTTCTTTTTTGCTCGCCACTCTATGACGTTGTCGCCAGCCTGATCGCTGGTTGGAACCACGTCAGAATGCAGGCCGTATCTAAAGAGCAGAAGCGTCGTCAACGTATCGAGGATGAATTCAAACACCTTTTACGATCAATATGGACCCGTCCAGTCGCATGCCAGAACGAGTGCCAGCCTCCAGACTCGTGCAGTTGCCAGCGCAAAATTGTCCACGTGTATGCGCTCGAAAGGTGGTGGAACGAGCGACACCCAGAGAGCCTTGACCAGACCAGAGGGCATCGATTCTTGGATGAAACGCCTCCAGCGCCCCACCGAACCTTCCAGGTCAAGTACCACAATATCTTCATTGGCGAACATTCCTGCCGCCGTGTCCTTAGCTTGCTTCTCGAACAACGCCGTCACCATCTCATTGACCGCTTTTACCACGCCAATGTTAATGACAGGTATCTTGTACGCAGCGAAAATGATCACCATCTTCGCGAAAGCCTACTTGAAGTTCTACCAAGAAGGGATGTGGATATCACAATCGAGGACTTCCACAGAGACAAATGGGCATATTGTCCGATGAACTTAACCTTGGGCATGGACCTCAACCTATATGGAACGAAAGTCATACCACCTTTCTGTTTCAAGATCAAACTTCCAGATAAGGGAGGAACTGCTTCAATATACTGGGTAGCCGTACAAAAGGATCTAATCACAGACATAGCCCTTGCAGATGCTCTACAAAAGTCGCTTTATGAAGATGAAAAGCTCGGAGAGGTAAACTTCCCAGTCGGGAAATCGTTGAGGCATATACTAAACGTGATGCAGTGCTATCAGATGGTTCTCAAGTCGTATTGCGGAAACAAAAAGAGAGATTTCGAGCTAGAAAAGGAAGCCTTCTCTGGTCTCGACTCGAAGAAAGACGTACCGATATTACGATGTCTAGGTTCCTACACTCATGATTATGGTGAAGGTAAAGATATGGGGAAGACATATAACCTGTTACTAGAGTATGGGGATCATGATCTTTACCAAGCATGGGCGGATGAGACCAATGTTCCCCCTGTAAGAGCTCAGGAGATTCTCCGCACATGGGACTCACTCTTCGAAATTGCCAAGGCCATTCGTCACGTACATCATCTTGAAGTTCCACGAGGTGGTAAGAGCGAACCACGGAGGTTCCATGGGTATGTACTGGAAACAAACTTTTCGAGGGTCCAAACTAAACATGATCAGCTGGCACGCAGATATTAAGCCCGATAACATTCTCAGCATACGAAAGAAGTTGAAACTGGCAGATTTCGGATTTTCGAGTTTTGCTCCAGTCGTTGAGGGACATGACGGCTCAGTCCCAACAGAATTGATCAGGGGGTTCACTGATACATACGGTAAGTTAGGGCAGTGTTGAATATGTGAGGGTACTTTCTGAGATTCATTAGGCGCTCCCGAAGTATTTCGTATGAAAAACCCAGACGGAACTTCTTCAGGTGTTTCGCAGTCAATCGACACCTGGTCATTCGGGTGTGTGTTATCCGTGGCCGCAACCTGGACAGTTTTAGGATTCCAGGGAATACGCCAATATGAACAACTCCGACAACTTGCTCCTGCGAACTGCCAGAACGGAGAAATCCACGATCGATTTCACGACGGCTTGGATATTCTTCCGGAGATAAGGAAATGGCATGATTACCTTAGAGGACACCTCCGCCCTTCGGACACCACCACGGAGCTAGTGTTAACTCTGATCGAGGACGAGCTACTTCAGGCAGACTTGACAAAAAGGCCCAATTCTGAGAAACTCTGCAAAAAACTACAAGAAATACACGTATTGGCAGAGAAAGAGATTTCACGTCTGCAGGGGCACACAAAAGAAACTGACGCTATAGTGCTGAGAGCACTTTCCGAGATTGAAGACAAAGCCAGAATCCAAAGGGGCTCAGAAACAAAGATTAAATCCTCTCGACAGGAACCAATACCAGCAAGCGCCAGTCAGCTCAATCCTCGACAATGGGCATCAATGCAGGTCCACAAAGAGGAGATGATTAAGAGCAAACCTTTGGGTCAAACGCCTTACCGCAAGGAGATTCTAAGGCAAGAATTAGGAGTGAGCAGCCGCAGTCTCTCCGAAAACAAAGAACATATCGTTGGCGTTCACAACGGTGCTGTCACTTGTAGTCCTACCGATAATGCGGATCTTTATGAGCTGCCATTTAGTGGTCGCTCTAAGAAGCCCAAAAATCCTGATCTACAGGAGAGTGACCAGCACAAGTCCGAGACACAACGCAATACGACAGACAGTGAGTCCGATAGGTCGATAACCACTCCGTCAACGCCAACGCCAACTCAGCGGCGGAACACGATTCACGATCAAAGCCCATTCGTTCTTGACGTAACTGCACCTTCAACGGACTCCTTTCGTGCACACGGCGATCCGAATCTACGTAAGTCAGACAAGGTGACGGAAAAAACATCTGAAATCGCTTCCAAAGGGATTTCTAGTCCGACAGGAGAATCAGTGTCCGCCGTACCTCCGCTTCCACAGATCAATACGCATATTGCTCCTCTATCTCCACCTTATACACCTGGATTCAAAGCTCCTGGCAACACCGAGCATTTGGAATTATCGCCTCTAGAACAGCGTGCGCAGACATATGGTAACATACAGAGTAGTGCCCCAAGACCGACAACTCCGACTACCATAAGTTCTGCCTATGGAGACAAACAGGTGTACAACCCAATTAGCACCCCAACGCGTCATGTAGACAACTTTACAAGCTTCGATGCAACACATGCCTTAGGGATTTTTCGATCTCCTACGGCGTATGAGCATATGAAGGCGCAATATCCGAGCGAACATTTTGATGGGAAGCACGCTATGACGAGTCATCGCACAACTATGTCGCATGAGACGGTAGACTTCATTCAAGAACCTCCAGCATCTGTATTGAACCTACCATACAGCATCTGTGAGAGAAGAAGAAAACTAGAGAACGAAAAGCTGAAGGGATTTGCAAAGATAGTAGGCAAAATGGGTAAGGAAACTAGGAAGCCAGATCCTAACCTAAAGGACATATCCAAAGATCGTCGCGAACTGGTAAGGCTACTTGAATTCTCCTTAATCACAGTGACTAATGTGTGTTAGGTCTTTGTCATTGATAACGGTTGGACGATGTTTGACCACTGGCCCATCCTGATCTTTGTCGTCGAAACACTTGCAATGAACGCTGCCGGTATCGACAAAAGCGGCATCGACCTCCGCTTCACAGTAGAGGGATCTCGACACAACGCAAATGACATTGTAGGAGATAACGGGCGGAGGGTACTAAAAGAAAAGCTGCGAGCAGCCTGGCCCGAACACAAGCCAAAGCCCAACGCAACAACCGACATGACTGCAATCCTAGAAAGCATCTACAAAGAATGGCGCCGCAACCACCAACCAGCCACAACCCTCTACGTCTTCACCGACGGAAAATGGTCCACCGAAAGCCTCCCCGCCCTCCGCCTCGTCGCCAAAAACCCTCATTCCCCCCACGACATCATCCTCAACCCGCCCCCCCTCCACAAAGCCATCATGGCCATCGCCGAACAAGACCGCCAACGGACCGGCAACCGCCACTTCAGCATCCAATTCATCCGCTTCGGCGACTCTCCCCCAGACACAGAGCATCTCCAGTGGCTCGACGACCACCTCTGCGAAAGCCACAAGTACCGCGACATCATCGACCACTGCTCCTGGCGCGCTACCGTCGACAAGATCTTCAAGGGAAGCATCGAGGGTTTTCTCGATGAGAAAGATACGAATGAGCCGCCGGTGCAGTACGACTACAAGCAGTTGATGGAGAGGTTTGACCGGTTTAATCGCGGTGAGGAGGATGGGGGTGCTGAGGCGCAGAATGCGACGCTCTCGTCGCCGCTAACGCGCGCGGGGACGCACAGGTCCCATGTTTCGACTTCGTCGCCAAGGATGCAGCAGAAGAGGTTTTCGGTGTTTTCCTCCTCCTAACGTCACTTGTTTTTTGTTTTTTTTTGTTTTTTTGCAGCGCAGTTTTGATGCATATGGTTTCCCATGTGTATATATACCGTAGTGACTTTCCGGGTTTTTTTCCTTTCTTTTTCTTCTCATTCATATCTCTCATTTGGATTTGGATTAAGATACCCACGGGGAGGATAACCCTGTTTTTGTTGTTTTGGTTTAACATCTGCGGCATTATACCCATAGGACTGGCGTTTTTTTTTACTGTCTAGATTTCGATCCATTCTACTTGCATTTGATAAAACCATATGTTTTATTGGACGGATACGTAATTGTCTACTTTTAGATTCTTGGATTATCTCTAGATATAAGTTCTATTTGTTTCGTGCCTGTGGGCATGACTTGTCACTGTTTTGTAGTCGAAACAAGAAAGGCATGGGATGATAGACGCCAGAATGTGTAATGATAAGTGTAACGAACTAGACCGGTCATCAGTCAATAGAGGCATGCTTATGCTTCCATATACATTAATATATCCAATGTCCCTCCCTGAGTGCTGGGACACCCGCCGTGCTGGGACAAATGAGGGGTACTTCGACTTTCAACACTTCGCTTTCTTCGCACACCCTGATAATCGCTGTAAGTTTATATTAGCGATATACTCGAGCTGTTTGTGAGTTTATCCTAATACTCCTAACCAAAAATTACGTTGCTATTAATGCCCTTTCGGCGAATGTTACAAACAACCTTTACTGTGTGCATAACAGCGTTGCTCTGCTATAGCACTGCTAAGAAGCTTTTACAATCTATTGCACATACAGAAGGCCAGTATTTAGCCCCAAGAACCTCCTGCTAGCGCGGTAAGCCATGATCAGCCTCGTGCCTGCCGTGATGCCCAAAACTATGTAAGGTCGCCACGCGGATCGCTACCTCGACTGCTGGTAGGCGACCCCGCACGCCTCACTTAAGCATCTCTGGTGTAATTTACCAACTGTGGCTAATGGACTTGTACCTGTGCACAACCTTGCCTCTTGTGTAGATATTTGGGATATTCAAACTTTCGGCGTTAAAGCCGTGATCGAAGCAATTACTGACAGCGCTGCGCGACACTAGATTTGTTTCTCTATCTTCCAAGCACACGATGCAGCCTCTAACCTGGCGTGACAAGTCATAGGTGTGCTCGAGCAATCGCACCGCGCTGCACGTGGTCGAATGGGATGATGTTTGTATGGTGTCCTGCTCACTTCTCAAGCGCACACCTAAGATAGGCAAGCGGCTTCCGGCGAAACGTACTTCCGAAGCCTTCCTGGCCCCGCGCCGCTACGATGCAGCAGCGCTTAGCTGTGCCAGCCCTCTCAGCCTTGCGCAGCTGACAATGGATCGCAGCACTGCTCTTAGCCTGACAGCGGCCTGGCTGCTCTGTCAGTCCACAACGACGCAAAGTACGATCCATCGGTTTACCTCATCTCTGTCGCAGACCTCGCATCATGGACGGCCTTTCGGGCGCAGCAAGCGTCATCGCGGTAATCGACATATCCGCCAAGATCGCCTCGCTCTACTACCAGTACTCTGTGGCTGTCAAGGACTCAAAGAACGATATCAAGCGTGTGCGGAGGAAGGTTAGCGACATCACCCACATCCTGGAGAAAATCAAGCAGCTCCTCGACAGCCATGACAAGACGCGGCTCTCTACTATCTATGGCTTGTTTAGCTCGCTCGAACAATGCCGAGAGAAGCTGAAAAGCCTAGAAGCAAAGCTAGATCCAGGAAAAACTCGTAAGACTATGAGCCGGTTCGGCTTCCGTGCGCTCAAATGGCTGTTTATGAGTAAGTAGGTGGATATGGTCGTTTCAAACTTAGAAGAATATAAGCAGATATTCAGCTTGGCACTGCAGGTCGATCAGACGTAAGCTTCTGTACCTAGATCTGTTGTACGCAGACCCAGCTTCTTACTAACTATACAGAGTCGTTATGTTCAATATTAACTAGAAGCTAGATCTAGCCAAACTGCCTGTCGCGATAGGCGCCTCCTTCAATTCCTATAACGAAGAGTACAGTGCACGATGTCTACCGAACACCCGTACTGAGCTGCTAGACGAGATAACAACATGGGCGAATAACAAGGATGGCAAGTCGATATTCTAGCTGAGCGGCATAGCGGGCACGGGAAAGTCTACGATAGCGCGGACGGTCGCTTAGTCGTTCGCCAGTCGAGGGCAGCTCAGAGCAAGCTTCTTCTTCAAGAAAGGCGAGAGCGAGCGGGGCAATACCTCACGGTTCTTTACCACCATTGCCACTGATCTAGCCGCCTGCGAGCCAGGCATACTACCTAGCATCAGGAAGACGCTCGACGAGGACTCGACGATCTCACACAAGGCTCTAAAAGACCAGTTCGAGAAGCTAATCCTACAGCCACTATTGGGGATAAAGCAGGCTCGTTCGCGGGTCTTAGCGCGTGTTGTCGTGATCAACGCGCTAGACGAATATAAGCGAGAAGCCGACACCAGAGCAATCCTTCAGCTGCTTGCTCGGACAAAAGACATTCGACCAGTGCCGCTGCGGATCATAGTAACTAGCCGGCCTGAGCTCCATATCCGCCTAGGCTTCAAGGAGATGCCGAACGGCACATACCAGGACCTAGTCCTCCACGAAGTGCCAAGGCACACGATTGAACACGACATCCGTCTGTTCCTAGAGCATAAGCTCGGTGTAATACGGAAAGAACGCATGCTAGCCTCAGATTAGCCAGCGAAACAGCAGATCCTCACGCTGGTTGAGCTATCTGTGCCGCTATTCATCTACGCTGCTACCGTGTGTCGGTATATTAGTAGCAAAGGAAGCAGTCCTACGGCTTTTTTAGAGAAGGTCCTACAGTATCAAAAGGCGACCTTTTCGCAGCTAGATCGGACGTACCTCCCTGTGCTCGACCATCTGCTTAGTAAGCAGAAGGAAGATAAGAAGAAGACGTGGCTTCAGACTTTCCGAGAAGTGGTCGGCAGTGTTATTGTTCTCAAAACCCCACTCTCTGCTATCTCACTTGCCCGCCTACTTCAAGTTCCACAAGAGGAGATCCAGTGCCGACTTGACTCTTTACACTCCGTTCTTAGTGTCTCTAACAGCGAGGACGCGCCTGTTCGTCTTTTGCACTTGTCCTTTCGCGAGTTCCTCGTCGACCCCCAGAAACAGGGAAAGAGCCCGTTCTAGGTGGACGAGAAAAGCACGCACAAGAAGCTCGCCTCTCACTGCCTTAGGCTTATGTCTGGGGCAAGCGGCCTACACCAAGACATGTGCAGTCTTCCAGGACCCGGGACCCTCAGGAGCGAGATTGATGAGGGGAGAATTACTAGTAGTTTGTCACCTGACCTGCAGTATGCATGCCGCTACTAGGTCCATCATCTCAAGCAGGGTCAGCAAGATATCCTCGATAGAGACACGACCCACCTCTTTCTGCAGAAGCACCTTCTTCATTAGCTCGAGGCTATGAGCCTTATAGGAGAACTGAGCAGATGCGTTGACTTGCTCGACAGCCTTCAGGCACTTGCCGGCGTAAGATCTTTACAAGACACCTTGCTACTACTCTGCTAACGTGCAACGCAGCCACCTGCAAAGCTAGTTTCAGCCTTTCTTCACGATGCTAAGCGGTTCGTGCTGCGATTCCAATCTGTGCTTACAGATGCGCCGCTGCAGATCTATTACTCCGCACTCGTGTTCGCACCAGAGAGGAGCCTAATACGACAAACATTTGTAGACCAATTGCCAGAAAAGGTCAAGATAATATCTATGAAAGAAGCAGACTGGGACGCGTGTCGCAGCACGCTCGAGGGCCATTCCTCCCGAGTCACAGCGGTGGCCTTCTCGCCAGACGGGCAGCTGGTCGCGTCGGCATCTCACGACAGCACAGTACGACTGTGGGAGGTGGCGACAGGGACGTGTCGCAGCACGCTCAAGGGCCATTTGTGGGGTGTCAGCGCGGTGGCCTTCTCGCCAGACGGGCAGCTGGTCGCGTCGGCATCTAGCGACAAGACAGTGCAGCTATGGGAGACGGCGACGGGGACGTGTCGCATCACGCTTGAGGGCCATTCTAAGGATGTCAGGGCGGTGGCCTTCTCGCCAGATGGGCAGCTGGTCGCGTCGGCATCTGACGACAACACAGTACGGCTGTGGGAGGCAGCGACGGGGACGTGTCGCAGCACGCTCGAGGGCCATTCCTCCCAAGTCACAGCGGTGGCCTTCTCGCCAGACGGGCAGCTAGTCGCATCGGCATCTTGGGACAAGACAGTACGGGTATGGGAGGCGGCGACAGGGACGTGTCGCAGCACGCTCGAGGGCCATTCCTCCCGAGTCACAGCGGTGGCCTTCTCGCCAGACGGGCAGCTGGTCGCGTCGGCATCTTACGACAACACAGTGCGGCTGTGGGAGGCGGCGACAGGGACGTGTCACAGCACGCTCGAGGGCCATTCCTCCCGAGTCACAGCGGTGGCCTTCTCGCCAGACGGGCAGCTGGTCGCGTCGGCATCTAGCGACAAGACATTGCGGCTGTGGGAGGCAGCGACGGGGGCGTGTCGCAGCACGCTTAAGGGCCATTCTAACGATGTCTGGGCGGTGGCCTTCTCACCAGATGGGCAGCTGGTCGCGTCGGCATCCGAAGACAACACAGTGCGGCTGTGGGAGGCAGCGACAGGGACGTGTCGCAGCAGACTCGAAAGTCCTTCTAGGTACATTACTTATATCGAGTTCTCGTCAGATGGCCAGGTACTTCATGCGAACCAAGGTGATATTCCTTTGCCTCAAACCCCTGTTGTCACATCGCTCTCAAGACCGCAGCCGCAGTCCTCCTACGTTCTAGTGCAGGGTCAGTGGATATTGCGCAACCAGCAACGCGCTCTGTGGCTTCCGCCAGAGTATCGGTCAAGGTCGACTGCAGTATGCGAGGAAATAGCTTGTCTAGGGCTTGTATCTGGTCGTGTAGTTCTGCTTAGGATCTCCTAGCATTGTGCATTAATAGAATCGCGTTATTACAAGCACGGTGAAGGCTTTGCGGCGTAGTATGAATAGCCACTATATAATACAGGTCTTGTCGTTAGTAATCTCTTTCAAGAACGACCTTCGCTTTAGAGCTTATACGCTCAGACCGCCCGCTAGAGCTAAGCCACAAATGTGACAGCCGCTAGAAATAGATTAACGTGTTCTATCAGTAAGCTGGCCGCCCCACCAAACTTGACGCGACACTCTACACAACCACCACAATGCCGCGACAACAACGCTCTATCCAGACTTCTTGTGAAGGTAGAATAAGCCTTGCTATCGCATCCTATTATAATAATAAAAAACAATCTCTCCGCGCTCTTGCGAAAGCTTATGATGTGCCAGAATCAACTCTTCGGACGCGTCTTCATGGCGTTAAGCCACGATCAGAGATAGTATCTGCTAGGCGTAGACTATCACCTATTGAAGAGCATTCTCTTGTGCAGTGGATCCTAGATCTTGATCGACGAGGATTTCCGCCACATATTATTGACGTACGACGTATAGCAGACGCGTTACTCGCCGCGCGTGGCCAAGATCCACCTCCAGCACCTGTGGGCAAATGCTGGGTGTCGCGCTTTATCCAGAACCAGCCAGAGCTTCAGACAAAGTGGAGCAAAAGGCTTAATAGCCAGCGCGCTGACTCTGAGGATCCTATCGCAATTGCAGCCTAGTTTAAGCTAGTAGAGGAGACGCGCCAGACGTACGGCGTCCTAGACCAAGATGTCTACAACTTTGATGAGACTGGATTCGCGATGGGCGTCGCTGGCACGTCAAAAGTCGTGACTAGCTCTAACAGAGTTGGTAGAGCAGTTGTTGTACAGCCAGGCAATAGGGAGTGGGTTACAGCAATTGAGTGCGTTAACGCGTCTAGCTGGTCTCTGCCACCGTTTATAATACTGTCTGGCAAGGTCCACCAGAGCAGCTGGTATTATAATCTCCCACCAGACTGGACTATTAGCGTCTCAGATAATGGCTGGACGACTGATCAGCTTGGCGTAGAGTGGGTAAAGCACTTTAACCAGCATACAGCGGCTCGTACAGCTAGAGTCTATCGGCTGCTTATTCTAGACGGCCATAGTAGTCACGTAACGCCAGAGTTCGACCAGTACTGCGCTGAGAACAAGATTATCACTCTCTGTATGCCGCCTCACACTTCGCACCTCCTCCAGCCTCTAGATATGAGCTGCTACTCTCCTCTTAAGCGCGCGTACGGACGCGAGGTTGAGGAGCTCGCCCGGCATGGGGTCTACCACATTGACAAGATAGACTTCCTTGCAGCCTATACACGGATCCGGCCGATAGTTTTCACGCAGCAGAATATCCAGGCAGGCTTTCGGGCGACAGGGCTTGTCCCTCCTTGTCCAGATCGCGTTCTATCGTCACTCACTGTAGCCAGAACACCGTCTCCACCACAGATAGACGTAGGCAGTACTGCTAAAACGCAGACAGAGACACCACATACAGTAGCAGAGCTTCAGCAGCAGGTACGCTATCTCCAAGAGCGACTGCGCCGGCAGCCAGAGAGTCCAACAAGCGTTGCGATACGCCAGCTTGCTAAGAGCGCGCAGCTTGCAATGCAATCAGCAATAATACTTACAGAAGAGAATAAGAAGTTACGTGCAGAAGTTCAGCGCCAACGACAAAAGCAGAGTCAGCAGCGTCAGTATATCGCTTCTGGTGGGGTACTCCAGGTGCAGCGGGCTCAGCAGCTTGCTGCAGAGGCAGAAAGGATGGTCATGGAGGCTAGCCAGAGCCAGGCTGGTGAGCGACGTCAGCGCGCGCCGCCAACGTGTACGAAGTGCCACACACAAGGGCATACTCAGACTTCCTGTACAGCTCAATAAATAATTATAATTTTTAATTTTAATCAGATTTTATCGCGTTGTTATAGCTCAATTGCGTTGAATGTTGTGTCAAGTTTGGTGGGGTGCGTAGCTTACTGATGTGCGCAGCTTACTGATAGAACACGTTAACGTGCGGGATCAGTGAGCTGCGCGGATCAGTAAGCTGCGCACCCCAAATCCCACCAAAAATCAAGAATCGCAACAGCCTATATCTCTGCAACCTCTAAATAAAAATAAACAGGAATTTGATACTAGAGTTGCATCTATAGGAATCTACTAGCTCTAGATTAAGAAGCTAATATCCTTTATATATACAAAACTATGTAGAAAAAACCAAATTATAGGGATTACTAAAGCGAAGTTTGCTCTATGTCTGCTATTATTAAAGTAGAGACTTTTCTTAAAAAGTAGTAATACTTTTTATATACCTGTAGAATATTCTATAAGTTTTTAACAATTTTTATTTAGT